TATACTTGTTTGCTTTTTCAGCTCATGAAATGCAGTACAATCTATATACACCACTGAACTGTTAATTGCTTACTAAATGATTATTTCAATAATCCATTAATCTGATTAGCCGTTTCACCCCAGGTAAGAATATTGCTGCACTGGTGATCAGACACTCTGACCTCACATGCTGCTTTAAAAGACTGGTGCTGGGAATCGAAAAGGAAGTGTTACAACGAGGAGATTCATCAGTGAGTATCTCAACATCTGTTACCATGGCGACGGGCGGGCATCCTCCTGGAAGCTGATGGCTTTCTCCTGCTTGAAGAGGACGTAAACGTAGCGGTGGAAGCCTGTTCCTCTGGCTGGGAACGGAGGCAGGTAGTGACACAGCTCCTCTCCGAGCTGCACTTCTCCACCTGGAATGTTCCCCCTGCAGGACCACAAACCATTCGCTCCAACATCAGTACTGAACTGAATAAATAAATACATCTATTTAGAAATAAAGCAATCTAAAAGCTCTTACACAAGCCAGTGAAGATACTCTGCTTCGTTATCCAGAAGATGCTCGTCTGAAAAAAAAACATTTCATTGCTAATGGATGTTAAAAACAAGTTGGTCGGGCCAATAGTTTGGAGGGTGTCATGTAAAAGTTAATGCTGACCGGGAGATGTGAGCAGGAGCGTCCAGAGTGAGCCCTCCTCTACATCGAAGCTGATCTTTGGGGTGGACGCCGCCTAAAGGTGAAACAGAGCAGATAAAGTCAGGGGACAAATCCAATGCAGACAAATCCATCCACTGCTTGAACATACCTCAGTAGGTGTCAGCTGATTCCCATAATGAACTTGACCATCAGCTCCCTGGCTGTAACTGATGCGGAGGGGGATCTGAGGTAGAAAATACGCCATTGGGAAAAGATCCCTGAAGACGCCATAGTGGTCGGCCAACTTTTTCACATCGAACGGTTTGCTGGTCTTCTCCCAGGTCTGCTGCACTCGATCCAAGGGGATCTTGACTAGTGGGCCGCATGCAGGCGTGTTAACCTCAGACCATCTTCAAAGCAATATGCAATGAACATCAAACCAAAACTCACAAGTACGAAGACGGGAGGCCCTCTCCAGCTCAACGTTCCTCTTGTTTTCTCTCATCACGTTCCTCCTCTCCCTCACCTCTTTGGTCCGGCTGGGTCGATAGTAAGGCAGCCCGATGTCCACTCGCTCAGCACCTTAAAACACAACAACACTCACGTGATGCGTTCAAATCTCATCTGGGCCCTGGGAGATTCCGGTTTCATCCCTCACCATGTTCAGGATCGGCTTCCTCCATGTAACCCCTGTAGGTCCTCCACCACACTCGCTTCCTCTTCGCCTCCTCGGCTTGTCTGAAGTAGCGGGTGTAGCTGCGGTATTTCTCCAAAGAATCCAGGTTTGATGCGTCGATCTCCTCATTGGGCATAGGACCCAGCGGAGGGACCCGTCTGCTGAGGGCCACTGTGAGCAAAGAAACATCCAGAACTCATACTATGGCTTTCACATTATCAGCTTACAGAGCTGCAGTTTTAAAAGATAACAATTGAACCAATAATATTAATTTCAGTCAGGCATGTTCACAGACACCTCTTTTAGTGACTAGTTATGCTTGTCATTAGATTCCAACCTTTTTCCTTTCAGCTGCTGTTTGTCTCACAAACTTCCCATTTTGAAGCCTATATTTGTCTTCTGCCCTCTGCTGGATGATCAGGGTACTACAGATATTAAAGATAGCAGCCATATGTGGATAAAATGATGAAAGAGCCAATTAAATCGATACTAAATGAAAACATCGATTCACATCGTTAGCTAAATATGACTTAATTGACTTTATTTAACCAGTGTTACAAAGATAACTTAACTATTACAGAAAAAAATGGGATGATGTGATTTTATTCGGAAAACAAAGTCTCATCCAAGAAAATGTTTGTGTCTGAACTTGAAAGGATTTAGTTTCTCTCTTTATTCATCAATTTGTTTTTTCTTTTTTTAATTTGATCACAATTTTAAATGAACTTTTCTATGTTCTAAACATATTGAGATTTACCATTATGGTTGCGAGTGGTAAAAATGGAATAATTACAATCACAAAAATAGTCTAACCTCTCGGTTATGTTAGAAAACAACCAGGCCCTTTTTAATCTTTATGTTAAATGGATCCGTTTCCATTTATAAATTATCAAATTATTAACACTTATTAGTCGGATGAGCCAGTTAAGGATTAATTTCCCTTTATATGTTAATTAAATTGGGAGCTTATATTTGCGTGTCTTCCTTTGCTTAATAATAGATCATTAACATAATTAATATTGGAAAAAAGAAGATTTTGTATCGAGGCCATGATGATGTTTGGGGATTTTATGATTTTTTCAAAAACGGTTTCACACGGCGATAAGCGAGCATTAAGATTCTGATCCTAACTTCTAAATTATGATGCAAATCAGCAAAATACCTGTTGTAACAATTGTCCTCGCGTTATTGACCCCTATTTCTGTCCCAGTCCGCAGGGCAGCAGCACAGACACAGCGCAGCGCCATCTTGGATTGCCTCCTCTATAACTACGGTGGCCGGGAGGTTACCTAATTATGAGCAAGATGCGTTCAATGCACGACAGAAATCCGAACGACGAACACGTCAAGACCAAGGTTCTATTTAAGCAGTCCGTTTCCCGGATAAAGTACCGTTTCCTGTCACTGTTTTTTTTATTTATTGGTAGAGAAATGTTAGTTAACATTTCTGAAATCTCTCTAATGTAATTTAGAACAAATAATACAACAAAAGAAAATAGCAATAGAAAAAAATAGAGAAATAGAAGGAAAGTTAAACCATCATCAGATTAGAAAACTCCTTAAGTTTATTCTCTTTTCTGATTTAGCTTAGTGTATTAGTTTATCATAATCACAACTTGGCACTAAACACACTTTTCTCCTGAATATTTAAAGTTAAAAAAAAAAACTACATAACCTCATATATTATTCTAAAGTACATTTCAAAAAGGGCCTTTTATTGTCTTCTGAATAAATTATTTGTCCCAACATCTAGATAGATGTAATTCTTTTGAGTCTTTTGAACATTTTAACCAATTTGATATCTATTGAAAGAGGCTGACCTGGTTAATAAAAATCAATATGATGAGGATAAATTTCTACCCACTAGTATTGCCATTTTTTGGCCCCGATCCCCGATGTATGTGTGTGTGTTTATATATGGAGAACTGCATACTACTTGGATGTAAAATAATTGCCATCATGGCTTTGTTGAGCTGCTGCCTACCTTTGTGAAGCAGGAAAAAGGACTAATGCAAAGTGAATCCAGTAGACCTTTTTATTGCCTACCTGGAATGGGTGACAATAGTTGAACAAACTTTTGGCTCTCAAAATGGTATCGGTGCCCTATTTGTTGGTACTCGCCGATAGCGATATCATCACTTTAGTAATGGATCAGGGCCCCGCCGATACTGGTATTAGTGCAACACTATTTACTAGTAAGATATTATTGATTCTAACAACCTTATGTGAATATTTTAACATTTATTCTGTAAAAACCCATCCTTTTTAAAATAAATATAATTTTCTGAATAATTTAAACTAAATGAGTTTTGTAAAGGATGGCTAATAATTACCAATGTTAGTTTTCTTTGTTGTGTATTCAAATATAGTTTATGACTCTCTGGATTTTCACCAAAATAAAGGTAAAATATGTCGCACTTTCCAAGATGGATATGGAATGCAAGTTTCCCCTTGAGCAGGACCAAATAATTTTACAATTTAACATTGCCCAAACTAGATTGATTAATTATTTTAAAATCAAAGAATCTTTCAGTCTAATTTCCCTCCAGAATTGTCATTGTTTACGAGCTACAGTACATTATTATTTCTGTTAACTGTTACTTGTTACTCCGCCAAATAAACTGATTGTTAGAAAGTCTTTGCAATTCGATTTTAAATTAATTTTACTAAACTGTATTATTATACATAGTAATGTATAAATTACGTAGATATTACAAAATATA